ATTTTTATTTTTTCCACTCGATTTTGTTCTCCGGGCCCGGCAGGAGGATCAGGATGCCTCGTATGGTGCGGCCGGGTGCGGCCCGGCGACCGCGTCCAAGGCGGCGGTGGCGGCGCGGCGCTGGTGGTGGTGTTGCGTTACGGAAACGGATGCATTATTTTCGAGGGGGGCTACATTTCGTTTGTAGGCCCCTCTGTCGAGTGTGTGTGTGTGTGTGTGTGTGTGTGTGTCCATTGTTAATCGCGCTGACTTATCGCCCGTCGCTGGGGGTCCTCATAGGAGCGGGTCCCCTACTTGGCGGACAGACAGACGGTGTCCGGCGCGGCCCGGCGGCGCGCGCGTCACCCGGTGTGTGTGGGGGACCGGGACCGGGAGAGACCGAGACGGCAGGTGTCATGCGGGTACGAGAGGGAGAGAGAGAGATGGGGTGTCATCGGAGAGGAAACAGGAGAACATGACCATCTCGGCGTCCGTATCTCGCGGGGCCAAGGGCGCTGCCAAGAATATTTATTTTCATTTCTTGCACTCTATACTCTCCACACTCGGCTTCCCCCACCACCCCCCGTTCCACCCGATCCCCGGAACCGAATTGAGACGTATTGGGGAAGGTAGGGGTCCCGCGGCGGGGCGGCGGGCTCCGGGCGGTGGTGGGCCGGCGCGGGCCCCCGGGAGGCGGCGGTCGGGCGGAGAGCTCTGGGGGGAGAAGAATGCATCGGCCAGCCCGTAGCCCGGACCACCCGGACCACCCAAGGGGGCCGTAGCCCGGCCGGGTCTGGCGCTGGAGCTCTGGAGCTGGAGCCAGAGCCAGCGCTGCGGCCAGCTTTGAAGCTTGCAACAGGCCAGCAGGAGGAGGCGATAGGTGACCACTCTAAAGAGCGTTCGTTACAACTTACGACAAGTTCACGTCAACTCCAGCAATTCGTAATTCTTTTTCTCCCCGAATGCCTTTTCTGTGTGTGAATTTTCCTGGGATTACAGTTTAGTGCAGCGCACAGGTTTGTGTCGCCCACCTTGGCTTGGGCGAGGCCATGCACCCCCTGCCCCCTTGACGACGACAAGGCCCTCCTGTAGAGCTACTCTAGAGACTCGAGGTCCTCTAGGCCCATACGGGGTCGCCAGTCTGTAGGAATAAATAAATCTTGTTTGAATGAACGCCTCCCCCTATGACCATTCCCCCTCGGGCAGCCCACAGCGCGGCGCGAGAAAGGTGAAGGAAAAAAAAAGAGGCAAAGATTATGACGTCGTTTCGAATGTTGGCCTGACCCTTCTGGCCTGACCTAAGCGAGGTGAGGTGGGGGCCCAGCGGCCCAGCCCGAGTAGGCTGTAATCCATTCTCCCCACCACCACCGTGGACAGTTTTCCACGTATCGATGATGCATTTCGAACACCGGTGAAGGTTGATCATCGCTGTAATATGTGCCCCTCGGGGCCGATAGGTGGCGGACCGCGCGGCATACGTTCCCCGCCCGGTTAGTGCGCTCGGTATTGTCGAGGGTAATGAAGAAATCCGACGGTTTTATGTGCGCCGAGCCGGAATAATTGTTGCCTCTGCTCTGGCCTAATGAAGACATTAGGCCGTTACCCACGTGGACAGGACAGCGCGCTGCGCCGGGCTGGCCGACGACCGCCCCGCCCCGCCCCGCCCCGCCTCCACTGCTAGAAATATTAATTAGTTTCCTGCCTCGCTCTTTTTATTCCACATCTTTACTTCTCCTTCGAGGTGGTCGTGGGTCTGCTCAAGCTCGGGGCACTGCGGGGGGGACAGCATTGGGCGGACCGAGGTTAGGCTGCCTCGAGTGTATCTCTATGGCGCTGGACGTAACGGTGCACGGCAGCGGCTTGGGCGCGGCGCTCGCGCGCGCGCGCCTCGGGTCCACACAACGACAACCCCACCTCACCTCGCTCTGTCTCTCCTTGTTGCAGAAGGCGGACGGCTGGAGCGCGAGCTGCGCTACTCGGCCGCGGCCCTGGGCGAGCAGGGCGGCGACACCCACCAGCTGCTCATCCAGACGCCCCGCGACCCCGGCGCCTCGCTGCTGCACCCCAACGCCCTCAAGGAGCACCTGCGCGTGCTGCAGGCGGCCACGCAGGTCACGGTGCACATGTTCGACATCTCGTGGCGGCTCAAGGACATGTGCTTCGCGCCCAGCGTGCCCAAGTTCGAGGAGCACTACATCGACCAGATCTTCGACGGCATCATCCCGTGCTCCATCGTGACCCCGCTGGACTGCTTCTGGGAGGGCTCCAAGCTCCTGGGGCCCGACTACCCGGTCTTGATCCCCGGGCTCGGCTCCAAGGTGCGCTGGACCAACCTCAACCCGCTCAAGCTCTTCGAGCAGATGAAGAAGTTCGACTTCAACTTCGCCTACTCGACCCTGGAGGACTACATGAAAAGGGTGAGTACTCGGTGGAGGCGCCACAGTCTCAAATCAGTTCTGACGCAGCCGCGGTGCAGCATGTGTGCGAGAGAGAGAGAAAGAGGGGGGAGCGAGGGGGAGAGAGAGAGAGAGGCGGGGAGGGGTGCTGCGAGAGACAGCGACCACCCATGTAGCCGGGCTGGGCCGGCGAGGAAGCCCCCTCCCTCTCCACAGGCTGGCCCCGGCCCGGCCTCCCATCCCTCCCATCCACTCCGCCTCTCTCGCTCGCTCTCCGCCGATCCACCTATCCGTCTCACTCGCACTACGTCCAGCCGTGTATGGGGGAATCTCCCGCCAGAGCAGAATCGCTCACTAATTCAAATCCTCGCTGGGCTGGCTCCAGTCTCCCCAGTCTCCCCGGCCGGCCCCGGTCCAGCTGGACCGGCGGCGGTGACTTGGCTGGAAATAACGATGGTAAAAGTAACAATAAATCCGGAACGTCCCCTTGGCCGCGAGCGTAATGAGCGTGGGGAGGGGAATCGTAAACGTTTCGGTGCGTAAAATAATGTTCTGTAATCACGACTGATTTCGTCCCGTTTCGTTCCAGGCGGGCATTTCGACCGGATACCAGGAGAAGCCCTGCCTCGACCCCAGCGACCCCGAGTGCCCTGCGTCGGCCCCCAACAAGAAGTCAGGCATGGTGAGTAAACCAGCGTTGTGTTCATTTTTATTTTTATTTTTACGTTTTACGTTGCCTCATTTGGTGCAGGTAAAATTATTTCGTTATTTTTATTGTTATTAGTCGGTCATTTAAATCCGACCGTCTGATTGATGGCTCCCGGGCCGGGCCTTGTGGCCGCAAGGAGTCGGGCTCAGGCTCGGGCAGCCAGCCCGTGTGTGACAGTGAAGAATTATTGACAAGCCCGTCTGCCCGGCCTCCAGTCAGTCAGTCAGTGTCAGTCAGCGGCATGCCGCGTCTGTCAGGGTCATAGCCGTGTCAGCCGGTTACGTTTTGAGAGCCAACAGTACGATGAGAGAAGTTTTCCCCTGGACTAGGAAGCTGTGATTCCCCAGGCCGCCCGCAGTCGTACATAGTAGTCAGACTCTACGGCGCGCACGCGCGCGGGCGGGCTTGCCTATCGCCGCTGGCCACGGCGCCGTCGTCGTGGCTCGGCCGAGTGTCGGGTGTCAGCGCAACTGCAGAAGCGCGAGCGCGCGGCGGCACCTGTTCAAATACCTCGCCCGTCCGAATTCGGTGGAGGAATCTCTGGGCAGTACTACACAGTTTAGTAAGACATCAGCGAGAGCGAAAGGTAGCAGCTCGGGGCCGGGGGGAGAGAGAGACAGAAACGGATGGGGGAGAGGAGGCGGGGGGCGCTGCTGCTCGGGACCGGCTCGGCTCGGCTCGCTGTATCACATAATGTCTTCATCCCGGCGCGGAGCGGCGCGGCGGGTCCGACCGGCCACCGCGGCCCGCGGACGGCCGGACCCGCCGGGCCAGTCCCGTGCGCTTGTTAGCCGCCTCCCTCATTCCACGCGTCTTTATCCCCCCGTGCGCTTCCCCCGCCTGTCCCGCGGGGCCCCTCCTGGAAACCATCGCCATCACCTGGGACGAGAGAGGAGAGGAGAGTCCTGGAGCCGAGAGTGACGGAAGAACGGAGGGAGATGGAGAGGAGAAGGGGTTCGTGTTCTCTCTCTCTCTCTCTCTTCCTCTCCTCGTCCTCCCCTCCTCGCACTGGCGCCTGCCGGCCCGGCCCGCTGGCGGGTACCTGGGGGCCGGTGCCTGGTGGGTACCCACACGACGGGGAGATAAATCCAAAGGAATTGAGCCATTAAAAAAGTGATGTTTATTTTGCCTACCGTAACCGGGCGCGGTACCCTGGGTGGGTACGTACTCTCCTGGGTGGGGCACCGAGCACCCGTGGGTGGGTTGCTCTGGGTGGGTACCCTGCTCGCTCGTCGGGTACCGAGTGCGCGCGCTGGAGCGAGCGGGAGAGAGAGAGAGAGGGGGAGGAGAGCGGTCCCAGATCTGGGCGGCGGTGCGTACCGGACACTCCGTGCGCGTCGTGAGGGTGGTCCCGGGGGTGGCCGGCGGCCGGGCGGGCGGGATGTTGTGTCAGGACCGCTCTCATAGCGGGCGTCGTGATGGATCGGATGTGGATGCCAACTCCTTCCTCTCCGCCCTCGTGTGTGAGAAGCGGGGCGGGCGTTGCCCCTCGCCTCGCTCGGCGTCCTGGGCGGGCGCGTGCATCGAGGTCTCCGTCGGGAGCCCTAGAGAGAAGAGCAGGTAGGGCTTTGCTAGAGCCCAGCACCAGCACCTCGGGCAGCACCGGAGCAGCTCCCGTCGCGTCGCGCCGCCAGGTCGTCGGGGAGCCGGACCACACCGCCGCCGAGGCCCTGGTAGCCGGGCTTATCGACAGGTTCCTGTAGCCCATCGCGACGGCG